TACGATCCACCGGTGGGTCGTATTGTCGTGAATGTGTTAATAGTCGTTTTTTCACACTCTCTTAGTTATTCTTATCCGCAAAAGTAACTCCGAGAGTTATACGGAAAGTATTCTGCTAAAGGATCATCACTTTGACAACTAGCGAAAGAGAAGACTCTACCTGTTCTACAACTCCATCCAACTGCGGCACCAGCTGTGCAACAAAACGTCCGCTGGCGGTTACCGGTTTTCCATTTTTCGCTAGAAGGTACAAAACACATGACAGCAGCGCAGCAGCTGGTTCAGATTGTGACAGAACTTGCTCCTTGAGCTCGGCAGTGTAATTCTGTTGTATCTCTGTCCTACAAAGAAAAAGGGTACAATTTAAGAGATATGAAAGGACACAACGCGTCTCTACCTAGACTTCGAATCAGGCTGCCTCAGGGCAAGCGATAAAGCACGAGGTGATGAGAGGTCGAACACGGCAGAATGGAAGGCTTCGAGGTTATCTCCTTTGAGTGAGGTGAACAACGAGCTTATTGCGTCGCGAAGCCCCAAAGGCAAAGAAGCGATGGTTTCTTCACGTTGCTATAGATTCAATCATGTATTAGATTTATATTTTTGTGGGTAACATGCATTAGCAGAAAACGGTGTCTCGAAATTTTTCGAGACTTCATTTAGACAATCAATTATGGAAGGTAGACTTAAGCTCCCATCTAAGAACCTGAAAATATGCTGAAGGAAAAATCCGGACTATTTCTCAAGACCAAAGAATCAACATTTACACGGGGAATTTGACTGAGGCATGTATTTGATGAAGAAATTCCCCAGAAATGAATGCGGATAGCGGAAAGGAACCATGCCCATTCGAATACGATAGGTACACGATGAGCGGTCAGATTTCACTAACCTATCGAGGTTCTGGCTTACGGTAGCTTACTCAGTGTGCTTATTCGCATACTGAATGACCTACCGTAAGTAGAACAGATCTATATCTGAACGCCTACCGTACACTTGCCGTATTCAGAAGACTCCTATACATGAGAAAATGCATCCCCTTCGAATTAACATAAGATATGACAATGCGAAATGGATTTCGATAAACCGCTAAAGCTTGGAAGTTTTTGATAATTTATGGGCGGCGCTGAACTAAGAGAGCTTGAACAGCTAAATTTAGATTAACTTACCTTTTCTTTCAATTGGGCAGCATTTTCTGTGCCCGACGCACAGGTTAGAGCTGCATTGGCAAGCTCAGTACCCACAGTACGCAGGAGAAACTGCTGAAGTTCAGTTTGCAGCGAGTCTGGAATTTGGCGAACAAGTCATTGATTGCACACTCTAAACAATTTTCACTCCTGCTCATATCTACAGCTTGCATTTCCCAACAACAGCGGA